GGCTATATTTGACAAGCCGATGCTTAAATACTCTGCGAGCGGAATTGTGAAGCTGAGATTAATCAAGATTAATAAAGATAACACTTCTTCAAAGAAAAACTAATTTAGTTTTCTACCGATTATTCCACATAAGTTATCTGATACAGCGATTAGATTTTGCTTCCAAGCTTAATAAAGATATTTTAAGGAATAAAAAGCATATTCTTGTAAGATCTTCATTTCCATCCTAACAATCCTATGGGAGCTTTATGATAAAGTAGTTCGATCCGATGGCTGGCCAATGCAAAACTTCATGATGATAGCCTTAAAAAGGAGAGTTTGGTTTGCATAGAAACAGATAGACGTATCGGAAGACATGACTTTATCGACTCGACTGTTAAAACTGTTAACGAATATATACACATCATAGTATCACTCGCGTTATCAATTTCATGACAAATTTCAAATGCCCTTTGAAAAAATGTATAATAATGTGCACTCACAAATAAATTACCTATTCTGAAATTAGTTTGAACAAAATGTGTGGAATACGGGAATAGAGTTGGCACAACGGATATCCAATATACTGATTCATTGGCATGCAGCTGCTGCTCTGATTTCGGGCCCATCAGAAATGCAGCACTGAGCCGAGCATTAGCAAAAACCCCATGGGGCACGAGCTGGGATCAGATAGCAAAAGTGCTGCCAATTCAGCTAACTCTTAAAGCCAAATGTGGCTAGAATTGAGAGTGCTTGGAAAAGGCAAACGAGTGCGAAAAGAGAAATCCTAAGGTAAATATGTGTAGCAAAAGGCATTTAAGATGTCAGAGCTCAAGCAAATGGTAAGTTAAGTAGAGAAGTGAGGCGAGCAGCGCAAAAAGAAACCAAGCGAGAGTCCAATGCAGTGCAGCGATTCAAAAGAGGTTAAGGCGGAAATAAAGAAAAAAAACTGGAAAGAGCAAAGCAGGAGAAGCAATGCAAAAGGCGATGAAAGAAATAAAGGAAGAAGCGAAGCGAACAAGTTGTATAACATTCCATGGCTTGAAAAAACACACGTCTTTTCTGTTAGGTTGTTGCTTTGGGTAAAATTTGTATTATAAGAAATCCAAGGAATTAAAAATGAACGTGCATTTTAAAGAAACCGCTCAACATAAACTCTCGAAATGTCTAAATAAAGCTCAAAGCGATAAACGATGAAAAGTGAGTCGTATTTAATGTAAGGTGGGAGAATAGATTGTCGGAATAATATGCTTAATATTTGCATAGCTATATGCGAGAGCCGTATAAGGCAAAAATATTCAAGAAGCTTTCCAATTTATCTAAGCTTCCAGTATATGATTTGTACAGTCGCTTTGCTTAACGCGGCAACTGATTGCCGATTTCAAACGATTTAGCCGTATTTAGCTATGTTTTAAGTGAGCTTACCAACACTGACAGTTGGCTGTTTCGACGCCATTTTGAAATGAATGCTGAAATCAGCAACACTGACAGCTCAGTGGGTAATAAATGGCGGCCAGATAGCAACAGAGCATGGCGCACATGTAGCACACCGGACCATGGAACAGGTAGTAGCTACTGTGCAAACAATGCAAAAATTCTGTGGCAATAAATGACAGTAACTAGTCAGAAACAATAACAGCGCGGAATTCAAATGAGAATCTGAATACGAATGAGTATATGCACCTATACAATATGAATGCAAACACACACACACACACACAATGTTCAAGCGGAAATGGACAGCGAGCATTTACAAACGAGCCGCACAATGTGTATTTAATACAAGTCAAGGGAATGTGGAAATACACGACTGCTAGATACTCTACTCTCTTTATTGTAATACGAGTTGAAAGAGTATAAATAATTGTGAGCTTGTATTTGCCATCATATCTTAAAAGTTATTTCAATTTTTATAAGAATATCAACAGCACTCGACTGTGAGATTCTCTGTTCTTTTTTTTTAATTTTAGGATATCCAGTCGTATACACGTCAAACATGTTGTACTTTTACTCTCTAGAAGGTAAATACACAGCGAACGGTGGAGGAATAAAAGTAGATGAATATTAAGAATGATAAAAGCCGAGCTTATAGTTATTGACGTAGATAAAATAGAACATTTCGGTTTCGCGCTAGGTCACAGCTTGCGCAAAGCCAATATGCCCTCTTTATACGTTCACAGAGCATAATACCCGTAGCATTACAACACGTGCATGTGTGCCTGTTGGCATTAAAATAATTTTAAATGTGTGAATTCCACTGAAAACTAACAAAAAGTTTTGTGTAAAAAAAAGCAATAATAATAACAAATAGGCAAAAAAGAAAGTGGAACTAACCGGAAGTAGACGCCAGGCGTGCGCTGGTCCAGGTCCGAGGGATAAATGCGGCCCACGCGGCACTTGCTGAAGAAGATGCCCATAAAAGAAGGATCACGTTTATTGGGCCAGTCCTTAATAGGAAAGACCAAGGGATAAGTCAGATACTCGGGTGGATCGGAGAACTCCAAGTAGCCATTGAGCGAGAGCTAAATATGAAAATAAAAATATTTATTATAGTATTTGACCAAATTTTCAGCTAAACGAAAGCGCGGACTTACCCGCGTATAATTGAAGCGAAAGCCGTAAAAGGGCATCTGGAAGTTAAGATTCTTGTGCAGCTGCGTCATGGAGGCATGTATATCAAACTGATAATCGCCGCGTCCCCCATAATTGTCCTTGTCGAAGAACCAGTACATGAAATTGCTACGCAGCTCGGCGAGACGGGCGCTGGTGATGGTATAGCCGCCAGCAGCCGTTGAGGGCGTGTCCGGTGGCGCCACATTATTGTTGGGATCTATAGCACATGATGAGAAAAAAATATACATATATATATGTATGCATAAGTATTTAAGTCAAGTCTGCAGCTGCTATTATAATAATTTTACATTTCACCAGCTAATCCTGGGAGATTACGTATTCAATTCCGCAAGAGCCGTAGTCGGCTGCCCTCCTACCCGGACTTACAGAGCTGCCCTGCAGCACATTTCAATTTAGGCCGGGTGCATGCAGCGCGCTGCACATAAACTTAAAAACTTTGCAATTGCATTGCAATCTTCGCCAGGGCTGCTTTGCCACATGCCTCTTGCCACGTGCCTATCTTCAGCTTCTTGCCGCTTCCTGCTGACTCACTTACAAAATTGCTGCCTCGTACCCTACACTTAGCCATTAAAGGTCACAGTTAATATTCATTTCAGTTTTCCCAACTCGCCAGCTACAGTTTCTCGTGTTTCCCTATTTTTTCTTTTACTCTCTTCACTCGCTCAACAATTAAAAAGGGTATATTAGTTCATATCTTTGCTGTCCGTCTAAGGTAGTTAGATAGCTGGCATATATATGCTCGGGTATCCATGCGTTAGATTGCCTTAATTATAAAGTAAAGTCTACTGAGGATCAATCCATAAATAAGTCTGAATTGTCGAGATATTGATTATTATTGAAATGATAGAGTATTACACAGTTGATTGTATTGTTCGTCCATGTATGTACCATCGTTCTAGACATTTTTCTTTCTAATTTCTTTTTTCCTCAGCCGCTCTTGGCGTTGTCTTTGTAAAGCAATTTAAGCCGACTAAGTGCTATGCTGATGATCTTTAGGGGACACAAAGCAACCACAAAAAGCCATAGACCTTAGTCTGGCATGTCAGCAGAACAGATATTTAAGCAGCGGCTCTTTTGTGCAGCCTGTCTGCGGCTTTCACTTTTCTTGTCCTATTTATGCTGTGCTTACTTGGGTAATCTCTATTGAATTGCGAGCTTTTCAGCTAAAACTAGTCTCTCTACATTAAAATCACCTTATAATTATATTTGTTATAATAAGTTAAGGATAGTTATGAAACGACGTTCGACTGAATTACTTGAAGCACCAGTTACCAGTTTCTATTTTTGTAAATATTTGATATATAAAGAAACACTAAGAACTATAAAAACTAGTTTTATTTGCATACTCAATATTTTATTTTATATTTGTCTTTTGATAATATTAAAACTCCTCGCTCTACCTTCAAATAACATTCTTTTCAAACAAGTCCTTTCTAGTTGCCTGTTCAGCATTTAAGTGCATATTTCTTCATTTTTTATTATTTATTTATTTTTTTTTTTTTTTGATAATATTAAAACTTCTTGCTCTTCCCTTCCTGCACCCTGCCATTTTAACAATTGAAATTCTTTTCCGCAAAATCCGTTTTAATTGCATGTTCAATATTTCATTAGTCTGCCTCATAATAAGATTCGCGTTGCAAAGTAGAACCATTCAGTGGCCGATTAATGCATCAATTTGCAATGAAGCATCAATTTCTCCATCGATTAAGCTCTACCCTGCGCTGACAGGCGACAACTATTAAGTGCATTTCAATGATGACATATAAGTATGGTATAATGACTGATAATTGTTGATGACAGTCGTGGCTAATTAATAGTCAGCTGGCAGTTACCTAAGCTTCGACCAGATTGCACTTTTCACCTATTTTTTCTGTTCGAGGTGTTCAAAGCGCAGCTGTCGCAGAATGGATCAGTTTTTAATCTATTTATGAATCAGTGTCGAGTTGTCAGGTCATAAAATGTTATTCTGGCAGCCACTAATCCTTTTTGGGTAGCAACCTAACGCTGAGCTGCTGCTGGGCCAGGTACGGATGGGGTGGATTAGTGCTTGATTTATTATGGTTCTGCCCAGCGTGCGGGAAATACGCAAAATTCGCGTGCGCCGCGGCTTGCAATTCAGGGTAAATTTAGCAGTTTTTTGCCCTACATTTCCTGGAATGTGTGCAGCAAAGCAAGTCAAGTTCTCTGCAATTATCTGTGTGTGTGTGTGTGTGTGTGTGTCGCAAAGCTAGGCAACTTTTTAGGCCAACCACATTGACAAACTACCTAAAGCAGGCAAACAGCTGCTGCTGTGGCAGGTAGCCACGACTCGTGGCAAAGTGTGTGGCATATAAAAGTGTGCAACTCTGTCAAGTGCACCACATTCAGTTCGCAACACTTCACACGCAATGAGCATCAGCACGTTCAACTTTCAGTTCTACAATTACAAGCTGCCCGCCGAGATGCCGCAGCTCAACACAGCGTCCAGTTTCAGCGAGCTGGAAATGGACATCGATGACGAGCAGCAGCAGGTGCCAACGATTACGTCCACTCCACTGCCAGCGGCCAAGCAGCCTCCTGCCACGCCCCGCTACACTAGTGAGATGGCCCTCACCCTCAACTCGTCAGAGGTGGACAACAAATCGCAGTCGTTGCAGGCGCTGCGTCCACAGCTGCATCGATCACAAAAACGCTGGTCCATGGAATTGCGCGAGAAGGTGCTGGAAATGTCCAAGCGGAACAATGGCTCCAATGAAGAGATACAGCAGCGTTTTACGCAGCAGCTGGCAGAGGATTGCAATGCCACATTTTGTGGCAGCCAGGAGCAGCCCGCTGCTGTTGAGGTAACGCGTAGCGTCAGCGACAAAATCAACTTCTTCAATAAGCTAACCAATACCTATGAATCTGCCCGCAACCAAAACGCAAACAACAATCGCTTCATTTCGCTGCTGCGCTCTAGCCGACCACAGGGCATGGCCACCATGGGTGGCAGCAATGGGCCAGTGCCACCGCCAAAGCCCAAGCGTTTAAGCAATACACCTAGCCCCACGCCCGGCTACATTGCAGCGCAACATCAGTTTGCCACGCCCAATGCCAAACCGCCCTCAGCGGCCAGCAATAGCCAAGCGCAACGCAAGAGCTCGCTGCGCCGCAAACCCTCCATGGAGAAATCCCGTGCCACAATCGCTCGACAGAATTCGAATGTAACGCTGCGACCACAGCGCCATGCCATGATGGAGGACCTCAGTCTGGTGGTGCCTGTGCGGTTACGCATTGCCGAATACGAGCAGCGCATCTCGATGAGTGCATAAGGAATGCAATTGACGCCACGCCCACATTAACAACCACAACCTACAGCCATGCGGTCGATGGTTTAATCTAGTGCAAGCTCCCAAGGATAAACTACTTTTAACTGTTCAACATATGCATAAGAATATAAATTTATACAATTTTAAGATTTTGAATAAATAAAAACAAAAACCAAAAAAAAACTGTCTTTTGGAAAAAGTCAAAATTGTGTCTCTAGACAATTACAATTTTCGCGATATACAAAAAGCACAGCGTTGGAAATTTCGATACCGAAAATTGATATCTATCGAATTAGGGATAACAAAATTAGCTGCATATGGCATATCTAAGCTTGTATTCCAAATTAATCAGAGATTATTTCTTTTATGATGATTAAGAATTGTGTGGACTGAATGGAGAATTTATTTTAGGCTTTATAATAATTAATAAATAATATTTAATAATAATAAAAACTGAAGAAAGAATTTAAAAAATCATAATAGACATCAAATATAAATAAGTCGTTCTCTTTAGAACAGCTACTGTACAAATAATCGTTATCTATGTGATAAATATATGATTTGTTCATTAGAATTCTATAGAAATGACCAGAATTTTGTTGTTGTACAGAGAATAGGTAAATATATTTGAAAAGTAGAGCCGTGTGGAGTATAGTAGGAAACTTGTAGAGTAGTTGTCATAGCACCAGCTCTGAATAGGTAAAGGAAGGAGAAGCGCTGTATATAAGAAAATTTAATCACAATGTGTAACCGCATATGACTAATTAATATACAAACAGTACGTTTTAATTGTATTAGTTCCGATTACAAGATATCAGTGTTATTGTAAACTGAATCACCCCTTGGAACCATAAAATGAGACCTGACTATAAAATAACACACCTATTCATGAGTATATAACTCTGCCTACCTCTCTCTCTCCACCTCTCTCTTCCTCCCTTTCGCTCTCTCTCCCTTCCTTCCTATCCTCCCTCGCTCTCTCTCTATTTCCAGTCACTTGCTTTGTTTGGAAAGCCAAAGCACAACAATCGTTTTTAATGCCAATACTGTGAGCGAAACTTGGACCATATCTTATCGGCTCCTCGTATAGTATGAGGGTTACGAGTTCTAACCGGCCGCCCAAAAAGAGAGACACCTGTGTTCACGGATGGGGCTTTGAGTCGCACACACGCTATCGAGCAAATATTGGTAGGCGGGCAAGCCAAATGCTTGCTGATAAGATAGCTAGCAGAATGTTCAACGCGACGTATGAGTAATATGAACTGAATCAGCAGCAATGGCAGCTAACCAACACTTACCCCAATTGTAGCCAGTGGAATCCAAATCATAGAGTTCGCCCAGGTACTCGAGGGGCATGACTAGTGCGCCTGATTTGGGCTGCGGTTTAAGGCCAGCCACGGTGAGAATGTCATCGGTGCCGCGACTGGAGGCGGCCAGGGGAGCCACATGGACAACGGGCACCAGTTTGCCTGCGCTGGTTGTGGGTAACGGCTTGGGTGTAACTGCGGGCGCTTTTTGCACCTTTTTGTCGGGGGCGGCAGCAACTGCCGGAGATGGCGACGACGGCGTTGCCTTTTTTGGCTGGTCGACAATTTCCACAAATTCGGCTGCCTGGACAATTTTGTTCGCTTTGTTCGCGGGTACGGCGTTTATAATTTGATCTTCCACTTCCGTTGAGATATTCTCGTTGGCCAGCACATAGGCCATAAAGCCGCAGGCTAGCGCACACACCACAAACAGTTTGAAGCGCATTTTTTTCACAATCGCTGCGCAACACCTTTTGCTAATTTTCTTCTTTTTTTCGGGTCTCTCGATTCGTTTTTCGTTTCGTTTTCGTACTGGAAGAAGAAGTGCACAAAAAAGCAGAAATGCAAAAAATGAGTTTTCACTAATAATTATTTAATTTACAAATTTTCCTAAAGAGTTTTTTTTTCACTTGCAAATTGTTTATTAAATAATGGATTTTTCACTTGATGACATCATCAGTGCTGTCTTGTGCTTATCAGCCACATATATTTCTTAAAGCACTTTGCAGCACTACCAAAGTTTGTTAAATAATTACGTTTTTAAGTAATAAATATACATTTTGATTGGTTTTTGCAGTTTTTCACTTGGGCGTTGTTAGTTTTTCACTGGATGATATCATCGAAATGATTTTATGGAGCGTATTAGCCCATATTATGCATGACACACTTTCCAACACTACCAACCTTATGACCAGCTAAATAAGTACGTTCGTTGAAGCGCCACGCTCAGTTAAGACTGAAGTCGGGGCGTTGCCAAAACCTGTCGACTGGCTACACCTGTCACCGTTTTTCGATTGTGAAATGTTGGCCCCCGTTATCTTTTATGCTCTATAGTGCTTATCTTATCAGGCAAAGCCAAGCACTGATAACGCATTCTTCTGCTTTTCGGCGCTCCACATTCTGTTGGCCAAGTCGAATTGCGTTCGGTTATTGTGCAAGTTGCCCAGTTTCCAAATGCCTTATGTTTATTAAATGCTCTCCCAATCACCAAACTCTCTCTCACACTCTCTCCCCTTATCAGTTGTCCTCAGCTATTGTTGACTTTAGCCATATTACGATTTCTGATTCATTTCCATTACAGTTAATCATCATTCTTGCGGGCCATCCTCGGCCTAGCCGTAGCCCCCTAATATAATTATAGACAATGAGCCATTGTGTAGCTAAAAGTCGGCATTTCCGCTAACGCTTTCAATTTATGAATGAAATCAGCGGCAAGTTTATTTAAAGTACTTCATTTCAACAGTGGATGAAAATCTCATAAATAATTTCACTATTTCATTGCTTAGTTGTGCAGAAATGCTTACAATTTATTAACATTTTTATTTTAAACATTCATTTCCAAAAATATTTTAAGCTCAAAAAATCAATCAGATTTAATTCCCAAATTTATGTACTAAACATTCTAGGCCAATTTAGCTCGAAAATTAGAAGAATTCTTTATTTTAAGCAAAACATCTTTTTCAAATTTATATCAAGCACAAAATAATAAGACATATGAAAAAGGGATATGCATTGCAAATTTTTGGATACCGGAACTTTTCGTATCAATATTTTTGTAAATCTTGGTATGATTTTTGATAGTTACATTTATTTATCTAAAATCCGTTTTAGATAAAATATAAAATTTTCTGTATTAAATGAATTCTAAATAAAAAGAAAAATTTTTATAAAATGAGTGAACGGTAAAAGGAGCACAAGAAATTTTACCACGAACATTATAAATATGTTTTTTTCTGTATTTTAAAATAAATGGAATGAAAAATATAAAGGACTTGCCTTCATGACAAAAATCCTAGAATGAAAGAGGGATGAAAATTGGCTAAGTTTTGGAAAAGTTGTAGACTTTTGAAATATACGAAAGGTATGGTTTCAAAAAATTAATATTGAACATTTTTGTAATCTTTGTGACATGTTTTTGTTAGACAACTTATCCCCGAAAAATATAATTCTTTTTTAAATAGAACAGGGATATATTATATATGTTACAAAAAATAATATTTTCTAAAATGCAAACGACTTGGATAAACACACAAACTTTATGACAATAAAAAAACCAAAATAACATCAAACATGACAATCGCTAAATTTTTTGTCAAATCTCAGAGATGGAATAAATATGCGGCCCAAAAGTATGCAACAAAATGCACGAGTTTCTAAAGGCGAGAGCGCAGACCTCAGTGTATATACTTAAATCAGATGGAAAAAAGCAAACAAAAAACAGAGAGGAACTATTCCAGTTCAGACATTATAAAGACCATGTGATTGAGAGACTTAAGGAGAGCGACTAAAAGAGAGCGAAACGGATCGTTTGCCTCTAGACAGTTTGCTGATCATTTAATGCTTATCAACAGAACTAACCAAGGGGGTCCGACCGCCAGCAAGCAAACAGAATAAACTTCAGTTCTGGGTCGAACGCGAACGGCTGCGGTTGGCAACGGGAAGCAGCTGCTGGAATATCCCAAGCAAAACAAAAAATAACAAACTAATAACAAATTAATAAAATGCTGCGACACTTTGCGAGCGCGGAAAGAAAATTGGGCAGCGTGCTGGGCGCACAGGCACGCCCACAACGCAGCTATCACAGCAAGCAGGGCGTATGGGGCTATCGACCGGTCGCTAAGCGCGTCTACGAAGGTATTATTTTAATTATAATAAAGTACGATTTATGCGCTTGTACCTGAAAGTGAATTTTAGTCGTGTAATCAGTAGCCAGCTGAAAGATTGCTGCGGCTTCCATTATAATCTGGCAATAGAAAACTTCCAGCTGCTGAGATAACAATCATTTTTAGCAAAAACACATTTGATAAGTCGAGCAACGTTTAAAGCCAAATAAAATGTATATAAGTGTAAATAAGTGCTGTAAATCGTCGCACACAATTCCTGACCAATGTTGTTGTTGTTGTTGTTGTTGTTGCCATTCTCGGCTGTTTATCGATGCGTTTTTGAGTGTAGCCGCAAACCCTTCTCCAACAACAATAGCAACAGCAAACACCAACAACAAGAAAGCGAATTGCTGTGGACAAACTGAATACAAAAGCCGCTGTCCAACTCATACTTGTTGGCCGCTTGCAGATGTAGCTTCAAACACACGCACAGCGAACATGTGTGCAGCAACCTGTTGCAACTTTTTTCAGTTTGTTTTTGTTTCTTAAAGGCAGCTTTTAAGCTAACTTTAATATAAAACTGTTGGCTCTGACTAACCGATTGAGTGATTGATAGACTGAATGACTGACTCAGTCCAAGCCGTCAACGTGAAAAACTGTTGTATGAAACTATTTTTTTCACCCGATTGCATTCCAACTCATTTTTAAAGTTCTTTAACAAAAAGTCCAACTTCCCGACTGAAAAATGGAGGTCAATGGTTCCTAAGTTCAGTTTTCTTCCCATCAACATGAAACTTTCATCAAAGCTCCACATAAGAACCTAATAAATGGAACGTTACGTCGGAAAATGGGTGTTTAACTATAGCAGATTTTTATTATAGATATAAAGAAAATGTACATAAACTCTGATTTGCGAAGAATCCCGAATATTCAATATTCAAATTAATTCTTCTAAGGCATTAATTTTTCAATGGAAAACTAATATGTAAGCGGCTTTCCAGTTGATTTTTCCCATGAATTTTTCAATGTTTGTCCTTGGCTGATAGCTGGACCATGGTCGAAACGATTTTCAGGTGCAAAAGCTGCACAAATTAAAACGATACCGTGCCCAGCAAAACACACACATACACACACACCGACACGCACGCTCACACACGCAGTGTGTGTGCAAACAAAGGCCCAAAAATTGCGAATTGGAATCAGGGCCAGGACTTAGCTAGCCTCACAATTGACAGAGTCGAACTGAACAAAGGAGCAGCTGAGGGCGTGGGGCTAATCAACACAAGGCACGTCAGTTCTTATTAACATGCAAAGCGAGAGAGAGAGGGAGAGAGCGAAAGAGATAGAGGCAAAGTATGTAGTAGTATGAAAGAAAAATAGACTAGCATTGCACACTCAGAAATAAATGCATTTCCAATTTCCAAAGCATGTATACACATTCCACTTGATCCCAAAATTTTCTATAATACTTTCCATAGATCCCGCTGTCAATACCAGTCAATATTACATATATGTAGATATCCTAAGATATTTTCAAATGTATTCAAAAACCTGCTCAAGTCATTAAATTTGTTTGATAGTGATTAAAAACTATGATTTGAGCTCCACCTACTTGGTATTTTCTCCGAGTGTACGTGCAAAGGGTACAACTACACCAAATGGTGGCTCCAACAATAACTATGGCGCGCCTTTGACTGAACTCAACTGGAATTTTGTTGGCCAGCTTTCTTTGAGGACTTGTCCAGCGGACCTGCCAGACTTTCGACAAGAAGACTCAATTTTTTGTTGACTTGATTCCAGTTTATTGTGTGACATCAGCAGGGCGCAGCGAGCTCTGCCTTTTAATTGAGTTGACAAAGCCCAATCAAATTGGCAGCTTCGCAATTGGCGACTCTTTTGATTTCCTTCACATTCTGCCCAAGCTTCGGACGCCCGTGTCCCTTGGGGGATGAAGGACTGGCTTGCACTTTTGTATTGTCCAGCGCTGAATATATTCCATATATAACTGTCAGGACGCCATTATCCTTTGCTCGCTGGTTCAATAATATTTACACGCCCAAGAGGAAAAATATTTTCGCCACAAATATCATCCATCATTCATTGTGTGCTCTTCTTTCCATCCACACAGCAGCAGCAGGACATGCATGTCCTGCCACACTAAATTGATTTATTACCAACAAAAAAAAGAAGTAAATATATATTGTCAACGAATTGCATACACTTTTGAAGCAAATTAAGCTTTAATGCATTTCCAAGTAAGTCGGCGCTCAACTGTGAATGATCCCTTGTGCCTTGGGAGGCACACACCCACAGACACACATCCTTTGAGCAGGATAACATTTTAGCACATAAACACCTAAGCGGCAACGAGCTATCAACGGCTTAGCCCAAAAATAAAAAACACCATAAAAAGGGAACCCCATAAAAAAACATCCAGTGCCATATCTCACTTGTAAGTGACTACAAAACAAATATTTAATCGGTGAAACATCGAATTTTAAATGCTCTTTAAACATTGGGAATGACATTGAATTTAATAGAACATTTTAAGTACATAAAAACTTTTCACAATAACAAATGGGAGTTATCTAGTTGGGAATGATCGAATAGTTATACCCTGAACCTAGCGAACTGCCATTAAAAATATTTAAACTTCAAACTATGCATACACTTTTACTTGCCGTCCTTCCATTAGCCCCACACTCGGCAAGTCCAGCGCAATAAATACATAAAAAATAAATATTAATAGAAATATATTTAAAAAGATATATTAATAGAAAAGCTTAAAAGGCATTGGAAAAGCGATATGCCCCGCTTAGCAGTGCCGCGCATTGAACCTAAGCCCAAATATATATGCCATAAAAATAAAAAGCCAATAAATTCAAAAAGGCCGCACAATGGTGTCAATGCACACATATACATACGTATATATTTCTCTCATTTTTTTAATAATTTATAACTGTGAATGAAAATTTATATTGTTTACGCATGTGTCTTTCAGTTGCCGAGGAGGTGAGGCAGGCAAGGAATGCACAGGGCAATGTCTATCGCTGGGTGGAGGCCTTTCGCCAGCATGGACACAAATTGGCATCGGTAAATCCCATCAGCATCAAAGAGTCCAGCAGCCAAAGGTAAATATTGTGAGAAGTTGAACCAAGTTCCTACCCCCCCCCCCCCCCCACACACACACACACACACACTGCCTTAAGTTACATATAATTTATATGCCGCTTGCTTCTGCCCTTGTATTGTCTCCTCTCACAGCGAGTTGCAGGAATTAAATCCCGCATTTTATGGACTGCAGACACAGCAAACGGTGCGCACCGCTGGCCTCTTGAGTGCTCCCACATCTGCCCAGAACGTTGCCCAATTGGAGCAGCTGCTCCGCGACATTTACTGCAGCAACGCCGCCAGCGCCGAGTTCGCCTACGTTGAGGTAAGCACTTCATATAATTCATACATAAAACAGCTGAGACAGCTACCAAAAACAAAAAATAAAATAAAATAATATCCTGGGATGACCATTCTCTATCTGTCCGGCACAGAGCACCGAGGAGCGCGAATGGCTGGCCCAGAACTTTGAGTCTTTGTACGAACGCCAGCTGCATTCGACGGAGCGCCTCGAAATCGCCGAGCTGCTAATTAAGTCACAGGCGTGGGATAACTTCATGGCCCTCAAATTTCCGACGGTCAAGCGATACAGCGGCGAGGGCGCCGAATCCATGTTGGCATTCTTTTGGCAGCTACTACGCGACAGCGTTCAAGGTCAGTTGGGTTCAAGCGACACGCAGTCCAGTCAAATGTGTCCAGAGCTGAGTGAGAGTGTGGGTACTTGTGTTATTTTTAAACGGATTTTAAATTTAGGGAAAATACTAATCTCTGGCAGTCCAGGTTTTGAAATTGGGTAAAAAGGGTATATTGGTTTTGTCAAAATGTTTGTAATCGGCATTTGATATGATTTTAAACATATATAGAAAACGCGGACGAGATTATCTTAAAGCGATAAAAAAGCGATCATCGATCGATTCAGAATAACTCGCAAATACTAAGAGCTAGATACACACGTACTCAGTGTCATGTTAAGAATATGTATGTACATCCAAATGAGTGTAACTATCAAACTGAAAAATCTTCAGGAACTTCAATATATTCATTTTAAATTTTTGAAAAAAGAATGGGATGTCGGTATCGATTTTTATCGATTTCAAGATATCGATTTATCGACCCAAATAATAATTATTTAAAATGTCTTCGATGATTTCAACCAAAGTCGATTTCAGTTTTTGGAATTTTTTAGTTCAAAGCCGATTTGTAGCCTTGATTATATCCCTAATATATTTAATTATATATATCTAGTGATCGTCTCTACTATTAAACCAGTTTCTTAATTTATTATGTGTGTGCGTAATATGGTTGTATACATCCACATCCTCACCTCCATGCTCTAACTTCGTGAAAAGCTAAACTTGACGCCAAACTATCGGCGCACGCTTGCTTTAACCCTAATCTGATTTTCTCCCAAAACTTTGTTTCACCTACGATGACAAAAACAACAATGATGGGAACAGCGAACATTGAACATGTGGTGCTGGCCATGCCCCACCGTGGACGGACCCCGCTGCAGGCAGCGCTGCTGAACATGCGGCCGGCAAAAGTTTTTCGCAAACTCAGCGGCGCATCGGAGTTTGCCGACGACATTGAGGCCATGTCGGACGTCATAAGTCACTTCCGTAAGTGAAACTTTTATTAGTGGGGGGTCTGTCTGCTTGGGGCAGACACAGCGTATGCGTAATTTAATCAAACCCACATCTTGCGCAGATGTTTCCGAGCAGCTGCAAGTGCTTGGCAAGAGCATCAACTTTAGCATGGTTCGCAATCCTTCGCATTTAGAGGTGAGTCCTGACACTTCAATTCAAACTTAGTTACAAAACATAACTACTGGCGACTGCCCCATTTCAGGCAGCTAATCCTGTGGCAATGGGTAAGACGCGCTCCAAGCAGCAGAGTCGTGGCGATGGCGCCTTTAGCACCGAATCCAGCGCCCAGCCTTTTGGTCAGCATGTGCTCAATGTGATACTCCATGGTGATGCGGCCTTTGCCGGCCAGGGCATTAATCAGGAATGCCTGCACATGGCCTATGTGCCCCATTTTGAGGTGGGCGGCAGCCTGCATCTCATTGTCAACAACCAGGTGGGCTTTACCACGCCTGGCGAACGTGGACGCTCGACAGAGTATGCCTCCGATCTGGCCAAGTCTATACAGGCGCCAGTCTTCCATGTCAATGGGGATGATCCAGAGGCAGTGGCGCGCATTACCAATCTTGCCTTTCGCTATCAGCGCGAATTTCACAAGGACATTTTTATTGATCTGAACTGCTATCGGCGCTGGGGTCACAATGAACTGGATGATCCCACCTTTACCAATCCGCTGGTCTATCAAATTGTTCACCAGCGTCAATCTGTGCCGGACCTCTATGCAGCTGAGCTGGCCAAGCAGGGTGTGCTAAGCGCGGAGCAGTCCATCCGATTGCGGGAGCATTACATAGCCTATCTCAATGAAGAGTTGGCTTTGGCGCCCAGTTATCAGCCGCCTGCAAGCTACTTTGAGCAGCAGTGGGCGGGTCTGAAGCTGGCACCTGCCAATGAGCTCACCTACTGGGACACGGGCTTGGACTATGGCCTGCTGCACTGGATTGGCCAGCAGAGCGTTGCATACCCCGCGGACTTTGTAAGTAAAAACAAGGTTCGAACCTTATGGTTCGATTCGGATACCTAGTTCAAATCTTAAGGTTCCATTCAAACACCTAGTTCGATCTTTGGCATTCCTTCCTACTACGAATATTGCAGGTAGTAGTATATCATGAGGACCGAGTACGCAGTCATAAAATTAAATGGCTTGAAAATACCGAAGTTCAAATACTCTTTTAAAAATAAAGCTTACGGTCTTGCAGATATTACTGGGTTCGGTCGAGATACTTAAAAAACAGAACATATATCTAGGTATATATTATATGACATAGGAGCTTAGTAAAACTCATAAACGCGTTTGATTGAGATTTCTTGAAAAACAATAAAGTTTTTCATACATCATTTAATATTCGTCCGATCATTCCTATAGTAGCATTATAATATAGAGATCCGATCTCCGATTCCACCGTTTCCGATATATGTTTGACGATTTTATGATTACGGATATATAAATATATGTCCATTTTTCCAGAACATTCATCCACATCTGCTGAAAACTTTTGTCCAAGGCAGGCTCAAGAAACTGGAAGCTGGTGCCAAAATAGACTGGGCCACGGCGGAAGCCTTGGCCATTGGCAGCCTCATGTACCAGGGCCACAATGTTCGCATCAGCGGCGAGGATGTGGGACGTGGAACTTTCTCCCATCGTCATGCCATGCTGGTGGATCAGCAGACGAACGAGATGTACGTGCCACTCAACCACTTGGAGGGCGGCAAGGGCGGCAAACTGGAGCTGGCGCACAGCATACTCTCCGAGGAGGCGGTGCTTGGCTTTGAATACGGCATGGCCATAGATAATCCCCAGAACCTCATCATTTGGGAGGCGCAATTCGGTGACTTTGCCAATGGCGCCCAAATCATGATCGATGCGTTTATTGTCTCGGGCGAGAGTGAGTTCAGTTCAGTTCCATAAGCTGCCAAGAACTTGGCTAATCCTTTCTAACACAGGTAAATGGATGGAATCGAATGCCTTGGTCATGCTGCTGCCACATGGCTACGATGGCGCCGCCTCTGAGCACAGCTCCTGCCGCATCGAGCGGTATTTGCAGCTCAGCGATTCCAAGGAAACAGCGCCTGATGGCGACAGCGTCAATGTGCATGTGGTGAATCCCACGACGCCAGCCCAATACTACCATGTGCTGCGTCGACAGCTGGCGAGAAATTTCCGCAAGCCCTTGGTGGTGGTGGCGCCCAAGACGCTGCTGCGTCTGCCGGCAGCCACCTCAACGCATGAAGACTTCCAGCCGGGCACGCTGTTCCACAATGTTTTAGGTGGGTATTCCTCTGACACCGCTTACTCATTAAAGATTTGTAAGAAAGGATAAAATACGTTTTGAACAATTATGTAACAGACAGAAGGAAGCATGTTCCATAATGTGTATTAATTCTTGTTCAGAGGTAATAGCCGAGTCAATGTAGCCTTGTCCGTGTATACGTCCTATAAACACCTCATTCTTAGGTTCTATAAGAGCTAAAAAGTTTATATTTAAAGAGTTGTTTCTACTATTGCCCACGCAGATTCTTTTTTGTTAAAGTCGTCGATAGCATTTGGGTATCGCATAGTGTACGCAGATACAGAACATTTGATCTTTTCGATACTGTAAGAAAATGAAACTTGGGCCAGGTATTCACTTACAATTGGATTTCAAATCAGATACCATAGACCGGGCTGTAGCAGCTGTAACTCAAGGACAAGTATTCCATAACGTATAGCTAAAGGCTGTTAGTATAGAAGGCAGTTCAAGTATTTGTGAAGCCATCTCGACGCTGGGAACAGGGTATCTCCTACTCGGCCACTCTCAGCTAGAGCACTCCTGTTTTTTTTTTCAATGGCCGCCCACCTCAAGCTGACCCAAGCCGACTCCTCTAATTCTCCAGGTGACAGCACAGTGCAGCCGGAACAGGTGCGCAAGGTCATCATCTGCAGCGGCAAACACTACTACAACCTGGTCGAGGAACGAGCTAAACGTCAGGTCCAGGACACGGCCATTGTGCGCCTGGAGTCCCTCTGTCCCTTCCCGGTACAGGAACTGCAGGCACAGCTGGCGCAATATGGCAATGTGCAGAGTAAGTTCCTAACCCAAACTTTCAGGCAATAAGTTTGTAACCCTGTAACGGACCCCGCGCCTATCCTTTCCACTCTCTTTACAAAACCCTCGCCCAGGTTTCGTCTGGAGTCAGGAGGAGCATCGCAACATGGGCGCCTGGACGTTTGTGCGGCCACGCTTTGAAAATTTAATTGGCAAGCAGGTAAGCCACATCCGAACACACTCACACACAGGCACACACACACACCTAGACATACTCAACCTACCCCATAAAAAAAAAACCCACAGCTCCACTATTGCGGCCGCTGTGAAGCGCCCACCCCAGCCACGGGCATTGGCAAAGTGCATAAACGGGAAGTTGATGAGATTGTAGCTGCCCCATTTGAACTTTAGTGCGATGCCGTCGCTGCCGGACATGGCTCCGCCACTTTGCCGAACACCTCCCCCGCGCCCGTCCATATATCAGAAAGTACTTTAGCTCAATAAAACTGCCAAAAATAAATAAAGAACAACAAAAAAAGCAAATCGAAATGCTCTAATCTGTGAGTGATTGACTTGGGAATATCCTCTATCCCCCTGCAAAACAACCTTAGCACGTTTCCACTCTCATACCTTTGGGTTATATGTACACAAATAAACAGCTACACACGCTGCGAACTGCGCAGTTCTAGCCAAGCTATGCCCACTCTTAACTAGTTTTTATGTAGTCTACAGGAACTTGGCTGTTTACCAGCCGACCATTGTGAAAATTGTAGAGTAACTAGATAAAACGAAGAAATAAGTGTGTACTTAATATAAAGATCTTAAAGTAATCATAAATAACAAAATCCTCGATTCCTGTATGCTGTAGAGATTTTAATTTAAATATATTTTTATTAAATATAAATAAAAACTTCTCTTACAAAAAATAATAAATATTAATATAATAAATAATAAAAACACCACTTGTTTATGTTTTTATTATTTATTTTTATTTTTTAAGCATTTAACAACAATAAGCACAATTATTTTCACAGACTATTTATCTTTTTTAATAGTTTCTAAAAAACTTTATTTTTCAACTGATCACTGACATTTCAGATAATTTTGAATCTGGCGCATCTAAGTAGGGAAAAGTAAAATTCTATCCGCCAATCAAGTTTTTCTTTATTTCACAAGTTCTTGAGCACATTTGCTAAATTTGTTCAGTCTTTCTTTAAGACTCAGTGAGGTTGGCATGTTCCAATGTTGGGGAATCTGGTATATTCTGAAGTTTCGCCAATTTGATTCACCCGGTTTTCGATTATGTAGATATCCTTTTATTCCTGTTACTTGTTATTGATTACAGGGTATTACAAGAAAAGTGCCATGCCGTAAAAGGCTGTACCAGAAAGTTCAATGTGGCATTACATAATAATTTATCGTATAAAAAAACCAGGTTGAAACTTTGCGCAAAAGTTTTTAATTGTTTCTTGTTGTTGTTGCCGCTGTTGTTGTTGTGGTTGCTGTTGTTGTTGTTGTTGTTGTTGTTGTTGTTGTTGTTGTTGTTGTTGTTGTTGTTGTTGTTGTTGTTGTTGTTGTTGTTGCTGCTGCACCGCACGCCATTTGTGTACATCATTTGTTGTTGTTGACCTCATAATAGAGTCCAAGGTTTTATGCAGATGACAGGCACAGCGAGCGAAATAGAAAAACAAAAAACTAGAAGCCCATTTAACCTACCGTAAATATTTATTATGTTTATGAAACATTTTACAGACTTTCAATTGGAATTGTTTAAGCAGCGAAGTGACCTAACTTAAGTATTTCTATATTAATAATAAATCGGAGGATTAAGTATATAGCTGGATAATATAGAAAAAGAAAATAATTAACGTGTATATAATAATAACTACCATAAGTTAAGATGAGTGCCAGAGAAATGGAGTGCAGAGGTGTGTATGGGTGAGTTGAGGTTAGCTACATATAAGGCGTTACCAAGGACTCTAAAGATTGGTTCAAAGGAATTCAGAATTGGATTTGAAAGAACATAAAAACCAGGTTTTTAGGAAAAAGTCTCTCATCACGCTTAATTTCTAGATGTTCAGTTTCGCAAAATCTATATGACCTGCCTGCCATAGATTTGCTCTAGAATATCGTAAAAGTCGGTGGACGTCTTATATGCAAAGTACAGAAGTCACATCCAGAACACAAATGCCAAGCAAACGGAAATTATAACGATGGCAGTTTCCCTGCAATTGGCATTATCCCAACCGCATTCCAGATCGAACTTCAGAGCCTGTAAAAATTATAGTGGAGACAACTGTAATACATTGGCTATGATGAAACACATCTTTGAAAATTAGTTTAAAGCCAATGGAATTTTGCCAGAGGAATTTTTCGCGCTTTCGTTTTTCACAAGAACTTTCAACAGTGTGTCCCACGGCTTGGGCAGTAAATCGGTGATCAATCAGTCAATCAGTCGATCAATCACTTTCGGGTTATGCACATTACTTACCTCAAGTAGCTGCTGTCCGCCTTTGTTATCACAACGCGTCTCACGCAAATCATCGTCATGATCGTCACAATTGTGGCGTCCGTACACCTGGCACGGCGAATTCATGAAGGTGCGGAAAACCGTATCGGTCCAGGTCTGCGATGAGCATATGTATTGACGACGCTTGCGCTGCCAGAACTCCACCCAGCTAAGAAAAGCAAACGGATACTTAGAATACATTCATATAGAGCTCGCGGTCATAAACAAACCCCAAGTCGCAATCGCAGTTGAGATCCGTGTGTGACATCTTGAGATCTGTTAGAAAAACACTATTCGGCAGAAAAGGCACTTGGCCCGTATTCGGATTTGGTATTTTCTTCAAGTTGTGATTGTTATAGCGTATATCCAAGGAAATATTCCTTACACGACCCATATGCTTGAAGAAGTTGGGGGGCAAGGCTTGCAGCGAGGTATTGAACAATTGCATATAAAGGTAAGGGGAGCGCATGCCCTGTTTAGATGATAGATTAAAGTTTAAAAAAGTGTTTAATGTTTAAGTTTGCCCAGGACATTAGGAAAGAATATCTATCAACGGCACGACAAAGAATAAACACACTTGTAATCAAACGCCTTAGCCTTCTTTAAATATATGAGGAGAATAGTAAAACACTTAGCTGTTGACTGAACTTGAAAATTGAACAGTTTTTTACACATAAATTGTTCAAATATAAGCAGCAATATAATAAAGTTCTAATGTATTTTAGATTTTACTCATATATTTAAAGAAAAACTTTTCCTAAATTTTAGAAAATTGCCAAAACGAAAATAATAAGAAAATGCTTCTTTAGATTCAGGTTCAGGTTTTTTAAAAAGCCTTTTTACTTATTAGACATTTTATTCATTGTTTTTGGAAATTATATTCTAAGAAAAAGGGCCCAAGTTTCAGAATTTGTGTATGAGTATAGAGAAAGTAACAAATCGAAGCTTTGCTTCAGATATCTTGTAAATTCAAAATGATTTTCATACCAGAACATCTGACTTGACCTATCTATGGTAGCCAAAAAGATGGTCCTGTGCTAAGTATCATGACGAAAACTTTGAAACTGAGAAAAATACAGACGGACATAGCTATACAAACTCTGCTGTTAACACTGATTAAAAAAAATAAAAATATATCTATATATATATATATACTTTATAGGGGCAACAAGGGTCCCTCATAATATATTTCCTGCCGCTCTGCAGGAAATTATGCAAGTGCGTTAAAGTTGTGAACGTCTCACCCGCAGTATATGATCGTTAAGATTCGTGAATTGTGGTCCACTGAACGTTATGTTGGTCAGTTTGGAGGGCAGATGTCCCTCCATCTCACGCAGCAGGTCCGTTGGCATGCCCATTTGCACGGTTTGCATTTCTTGCGTGGGTCCCGAGCCCTTCTTGACGATGCGCGTAAAAGGCTGCGGTGCCTCAATCCACAGTTCCCGTATGTTGTGATGATGTCGCAGCAAATGGGGTATATTGAAGTGGTCCAGGTGCGAGTAGGCGGTCAGCTTGAGGGAGCGCAAATGTGGCAGCGAATCAAGGCAACCATACTCAAAATAGTGCAAACGGAAATTGGATATATCCAACATTTCCAGATCCTCATTGACGCCATCGAAGCTGTTGTTGTTCAGCGAGGTAATGGGGTTACCAGACAGCATCAGCCGACTTAAGATACAGATGCATAAGTCAGATAATTTGAACTACAAGTGGAAGTGTGGCCTGACTCACCGCAAATGTGGCAGGGATTGCGTCATCAGTGGCACATTGGTCAAGTCGTTATTTGATAGATCCAGCATACGTAGATTGCTCATATTATTCGCCAGCTCCTGTGGTATGGAGGGAAGCTCATTGTAACCCAAACGAAATTCTCGCAGATACTTGAGGCGTATTTCAGGCACAGTGCTCAGCGAGACATTCTCCAGGCCGAGCTTTATCAATGAATTCTCCAGGCCCATAAACGATTTATCCATAACCTTGAGATCCCGATTGTGTGAGAGATCCAGAACCGCCAGTTTCGGCATGGTGGCAAAGACGGCGTCATCGATGCGCAGCAAATAGTTGTAGGAAATGTCCAAGTAACGTAGAGACTGAAAGATGCAAATAGGTAAAGCTCTAATCATATTGACTGTTCAAATAGAATTATAGGTGGAATCCAGTTCAAATTTAAAGTTTAAATAAGCAACTAACCCTAAACTTATTTGACAAATCCATGCTGTGTATCGTGGAGATGAAATTGTTGGACAAGTGCAGCTCGCAAAGCGTCAGAGCAGCCAAACTGGACAACGAGGAAGATGGTATCTTTAAGAGCATATTGTGCGAGACATCCAACCTGTAAATAAAAAGAGGTAAACCTTTGGTAAGCTCCCAAGTAAATTAAGCAATCACTCACTTTTCCATGCCACCATTGTAGAACAAATTATCGGGCAAGCCGCGCAGCTTATTGTGGGAGAAGTCCACAATACGCAGGCTCTGCACGGGCTTAAAAATATCCTGGGGTATATCAGTCAAATAGTTGTGATCAAAATAGACCAATTGCAATTGTTTGGTATTCTTAAAGGCATCAAAGTCCAGTTCGTGTATCCAATTGTAGCTCAGATCCAGCCATTGCAAATGCGGCATGTTCCCAAACACATCACGAGTCGTGTTCTAGAAAATTGTGTATAACAAAAAATTATACGATAATATACTATCTAGATAAAAGAGTTTATTCTGTCTGACTACTGATCAGCACACGCCTCCAAAGCGTGTCAGCTAAACTTCCATTTGGAAAAAGATAAAGATAAATGGGGGAAAAAGACCATTAAGAGCAACCCTATAGACATAAGTTGCTAAACCTCGGACACAAGGGAAAGGTCGCCGGTTCGATTCCAGCAAAAATGTCAAATCCATGTGAGACTTTACTGTTGGAGCTGAGCTATCAGTACAATCAGTTTAATCTATATAGATATATCACATATAGATCTATAGCTACGCAAATACCAACCATAAGCGAATTATAGCCCAGATGCAAGTGCGTCAGTGAAATCTCAGCGGGTCGGAAGTAGCCGGGATAAATGATGGAGATGTTATTGTGCGACAAATCCAATATCTTGATGTTCGAGTGGTAGATGCCGCCTAAAAGCAGAAACAGTAAGTATAATCGATCTTAAGATATGACTAGACCTCTTACCATGCTCATTGCGACCACTCCAGGAGGAGTTGGACATTAGCTGCTTAATCTGATTGTGGCTAACATTAACATTAAGATTAGATAAAGTGCCCACTTGATCGAAGTAGTCAAAATTGAAATTGGGCAGCTGGTTGAAGGCCATGTCCAGAATCTCCAGCTTGGGCAGGTTTTGAAAGGACTCCTCAGCCAAATTGTTGAGCTTGTTGCCGCGCAGGCTCAGGTACTCCAGCTCATCCAGATTCATAAAAGCGCGTCGCTCCACCTTGTCAATTTTATTGTCATCCAGCTGGAGTTTGCGCAGCGCTTCCAGGTCAAAGAAGGTGTGCTGAGAGATGGATGTAAGATGATTAAAGCGCAGCGAGATCTCCTCCAACTTTGAATGTATATCGCCCTGGAAGGTGCCCTTGAGCACCTGTTCAATGCGATTGTCATGCAGCTCCAGCAAACGCAGATTTTTCAAGAAATGGAAGCTCGTATCGCTCATGCTGCTAATATGATTGTTGCTGAAGTCCAGCTCCTGTAGGGAGGTCAAATGACGAAGAGCCTCGGCAGGCAAGGCGCTGCCGGAGTAACCATGCGCCATCTTCAGTGAAATGAGGGAGTGGCCAATCTAGAAGGAGAAATCGCAATTAAAACAGGTTAAACTTGACAGCTTGGATACTCCTACTTCATGGAATGCATCATTCTCAATGCTCGAAATTCCATTCTCGCTGAAATCCAATCGCTTCAGACCGCGCACATGTTTAAAGGCATGCGACTGTATGCCCGAGAGGCTGGCACGTGTGATCTGCAGATCCTCCAGTTCGACGCCAAAGTCCTTAAAGTCCTCTGGGCCCACAGATGTGGTGCCCATACGCGATATGGATAGCGAGCGCATGTTCCGCATTCTGGTCATACTTTTTGCAAATAAATACAAAACGATTTGCTCGGGTAAAGGGGTGTGTGGGGAGCAGGAGCTTTATTGTGCTGGGGTCACTTACTTGCGTAAAGTTTGTAAATTGGTTGGATCATTCCGATCACCGCTGAGATCCAGCTTGAGCAGCGTATAGTGCATGGCATTAAATGTTTCCGTGGGCTTCGGGATTTTGATCTTATTGTCACGCATGCTAATGACCCTGTAAATGGGGGGTAAACGTGGAGAAAAGGGTGAGACTTGGGTTATTATAGCTGCTTATTGCTCTATTGTCTCGTTTCTATATTCGTCACGTTCTGCGAAAGCAGGTCACACACTTAGCCCACATCGACGAAGCCCCACATTATAGGGTGCTAACAATCGGATTAGGCTGTGGCCTTTTTTTAACCAACTCACTTCAAAACATCGAAATTATTGAAGAGCTTGTGATGCAGCTTGGTCAAATTGTTGCCAGACAGATCCAAAATTTGTAAGCTATTCACCAGGCTATCAAAGGCCACCGGGGAAATATTGGTCAGTCCACAATATCGCATATAGATCTCACGTATGCGAGCTGGCTTGAAGGCATCGTCCTGTAATGTGAAGAGTTTGAGATGCAACACGATTTGACCAACTTTAAGCACCCACCTTAAGAGTATGTATGGGATTTCCATCAAAAAAGGTTCGATTGACTGTATCAAAATACTTGAAGGAGTTCGGTGGCAGCACTTCTATGTGATTATACTCCAAGTGTAGGTTATCCAAATTCAGTTTGGTGCTAGCCTTAATATCATATGTTTCATTTCCGCTCATCGACCAGATGACATTGTGTGATATGTCCAAAGTGCGCAGACTCTTCAGCGGGCCCAGTGCATCATAGGGTATCTCCGATAGAATATTATCTGTGAGCAACAAACGCGTCAGCCTAGGCATGCCATCCACAAACACATTCGGATCGATCTCAAACAGACTATTCCCGCTCAGATCCAGTGTCTCCAGATTCAGCAAGCCCGAGAAGCTATGCGTCATGAGCATGGAAATGCAATTCTGGCCCAGAATCAGAGTCTGCAGCGATTCCTCCAGGCCACGAAATGAATCGTGATGTATAGTCGTTATATGATTATCTGATAAATCCAGAATGCGCAGCTTTTGCAGATGACGTAACGACTTGGAGGGTATCTCGACCAGATCGTTTTGCGGCAATATGAGCTCCCACAATGAGCGCTCTAAGCCGGTAAAAGCATCATCTGGTATCTCAGTTAAATGATTGCCCGAAATCTTTAGCCGATACATGCCCGTGGACTGTAGAAAATAGGGCTCGATCTCGCGCAAGCCTGTGCTCTCCATGTGCAGCATGAAAACCTGGTCGAGAGATTAGTCCAACGGCTGCAAAGACTAGCTGGCAAGCTTGGCTACCTACCTTAGATTGGTTAACCATGCGCGGCAGTGCTGGAAAAGGCACATTCTTGCAATGCACAATGCCCAAATCTGTTGAGGATTTGGAGCATGTGCACATCACATTGTATGTGCAGGGCGGATAGCGGGTCTCCTCCATCTCTCGACTGAACAGCGAGGCACGCGCCAAGGACATCCAGATCATTATGATAAGCGTTATGGTAAGAAACGCATAGCCAAATTTAAAGAAGAACTCGAGACCCTAAAAAAGAGAAGGGCGTGCAAAGGAAGTCACATTAGGCGTAGTACTTGAGGAACTGCCAACTGCAATCTCAAGTATTATTATTGCGAGTCAACATTCGCATATTCAAGGAAGTCCAAAAGTCTTTAGCCACTGTGGGGCTTCACATGCTTATCTTTCTCTTCTTTTTTTTTTTTGTGGTCACTTGTAAAATTCAACCCTTGGCAACAGCCAAAGGCTTGCACTTTTAAGGCTAGCGCGCAGTGTATTGAATGTCCTTTTTCCCTTTTAAATGAGATATTCCTTGGAAAGGTTTACCCATGCAGAGCATGTTAACGGTTTGTCACCAAATTGATAACACTTTCAAATACTCGTCTGCGAACCTATACAATTTAATTACTCAATTAGGATAACGCCTGAGCTCTTAAAGCCATGTATGTTTGTCTTTATATAGGTTTAAGAATTCTTAACCAAACTCTGTAATTAAGAGATTTTCCATAATCCTAACATAAAAATAACATTTGTTCATTGTTATTTATTATTGTAACTTTTGTTTTTTTTTTTTTTTTTGCTCTTCAAGATATCAAATGGAAACTGAATTTACTCCTAACATGTGAGCACATTAGGGTTGATATATCATATAGTTACAATAGAAGCAATCGGTCAAACATTGAGCTATTAATGAAACACAATGTTATACTCGTGCACAGGGTATACAAATTCTGTCTTGAAAGGTGTAACACATAGAAGGAGACATCTCCGACCCCATAAAGTATATATGTTCTTGATCAGTATTACAAGCCAAGTCGATTTCAATGCGAAATAGTCTCTCAGTTTTAAAGCCATCGTCATGAAACCTTGCGTACGCTGTACTAATGTCGGACCGGCTGGATCGGACCACTATATACCTGATCGGTCGAACGATCGGTCGGAAAGTAGGTTCTTTTATGAAAACTTTTTTTATCAAGATATTTTGATTAAACTTAGCATTTTCCTTTTTCCCCACTCATATATAAGCAAAACCCAATCAACATCGGTCCACTATATTATATAGCGGCCATAAGAACGAGCGGTCGATAATTAAGTTATTGTATAGAAACCTTTTTGTTTTTCAAGATATATTGACCAAACTTGACAAAAAGAAAAGGTTCGGTCTGCAAGGATATCTAATCTTCGGCGTGCCGAAGTTAGCCCTTCTTTCTAGTTGTATTTCAAGATATTATAATAAATTTGAACAATTAACTAATTTTGTACCACTATATAAGATAGCTCCAGCCTGGGAATTTTCTTAAAATATATTTTGTTTCTTGAGACATGAGCTCCTAGTTGATATCGGACTACTATACAATATAGCACCTTAAGGAATCATTGATTGAAAATTAAGTGTATGTAAAAAAGTATATTCCAAATTTTGTATATATCAAGGGTATAAAGTCTGCGGCCGCCCAAAGATCTTTCTCCTCCTTTCCACTTTTTTCCATATATGGTCGCGCTCGTCAAATACACACCATTTTGTTAATTGGATTATTCGTACAAGATAATTGGCATTTAGAATAATTTTAATTTAATTTAAACAGTAGGCTTCCTTTTTTAATTATTTTATTTAATAATAACTTATTTTTATGTCTGCCAGGCACAGGATGTGCGTCACTTTTTTTAAGCCTGTTTGTCTTTATGTTATTTCCGTTTTTGCACTCGCGAACAAACAGAAACACGTCCGAACCGCAGCGCGTTCCACGCACGTCTGAGACATGAAAATCAATCGGGTTGCGCATTTGACGACAGCCAGTTGATAAGTGGCGCACGACACTAATTGGATTGTAACATTTTGGGGGGGTGGGCTATTCTCCATGGCGCCAGGCCAAGAGCTGGTCAGCCATTGGGCACACGCCTGGGCCGATTTATAGCATTACTTTACGCCTGATTGGAAATGCTCATTTCCTCGCCGTGCTTGCCCTTTTGTTTAGAATATGCCAAGCAAAACACACACAAATCGTGTGAACGCAAGGTGCCTACTATGAACATTTGGATAAAGAAAAGATTCAAAGCCTTGCGCTAACCAAGGCAATTGAATGTTGCACTGCCTGGATTAAAACTTGTATGAATTCACACGACATGATTTCGGGCCGTGCGCTAAGCAGGTTGTAAGAACTTAAGCGACAATTGGTGAACAAATATTTATAAATTAATTCCGCACATAATGTTTTAATATTGATATAAACAATTCCACAGTCACATGCTCATTTAAGTGTGCGAATCTTGCGGTAAAGCCAGTAGTGATAGGTTCGCTCCTTGACCAGCTCCTTGTCTGAAATATGACTCATATTTCATTAAAATTTATTAAAGAAAGCGATTATACTGCAACTTACCATCGCACTGAAAGCACTGCGCCAGCTCAGGCGGACAAATATTCTCCAGATTAAAGTAGAATGTGGTTGTGTGTTCCCTAAATGTGTTGTGCGACCTCATTGTTATTTGGCGTGAGTGCGGTTCCTTACCATCCAAATGCTCGCGTACATAATGCGCTGACAGCTGTATGTCCACCACATCGCTTAAGTTATCATCAATGCTCTCCACCAAGCGTGGCTGCTTATTCAACAGCTGAGTGCAGACGTCGGCATAAACTGTGAAATATAAATGTGAGTTATAATAATAGACAAACCTTCATAAATCAACGAACCATTGGGTAAATTTAAGTGAATGTGTATCATCAGCAGATGCTCGAGCGTGCAGTGTATTTGGAACAGCTTGGACACCTTTAACATGCTCTCCTGCTCGTCAAAGTTGCTATTCTTAAAACCAGGCACGTCACCATTTTGATACTTGGCACCCGGTTGCTTAATGCCAGCGCTATGGTGCAGCAGAGTCTTGCGCATGCCACCACCTGGGGTGTCAGAACGCACTGCATTGTGCAGCGATTTGCGCAGCTTTGATATATCATTCGTTGCGGAGCCATCATTTAAACTTGCGTTCGTTGACTCGCTGCTGCTCTTTAACAAACTGGTGCTGCATACTTTGCTTTCCGTAAAGATGAACTCATAGTCCTTGTAAACCTTTTCCAAACCGATCTCCAATAGCAATTCCAAAGGTTCTGCGCCGCTGAGGCAAGGCATGGCCAATCGACTGTTGGCCAGATTGGAGATGATTTCAGCCAGTCGATTTTTATTGGTGGGCGAATTCTATAAATAAGAGAATTACCAGTTGGCTCGCAATGATTATGCTTGCTATACACCCACCACAATATTACAGCGCACAGCGCATTGAAAGAGCATGTTGAAGGCTATTTTCAGATCCTTAAAGGAAGAGCAACCTATGAGACAGCAAAAAATAGAAATCATTTAGTCATGTGGGGCACGATCTATAGATACACTTACATTTGAGCAACTCCCACAACTGATCGGTTAGATCCGTAAGCTTCCGTTGCTTGGCGCGCTGCACCACCTCCTCAATGTCATACTCAGCGTGATTGTCCGTAAAGACATCCGTGAAACCCGAAACCTCTGTCATAGTTTTGTTTATGGATTCACGTAGCTCGTCCATGTCAATGCCACTGCCACAACGGTAGACCGGGTCGCGATGAACGCCCGCCTGCTCGTCCTTGTGATAGCTAACGATGTCCTCGCGTATGTAGGCCAAAATGCGCAGCTGATTCATGAAGTCTTCCGTCAGTGGACCACAGTCGCCGACGCGAAACGATTGATTTAGTAGTACATTGCAACCACTCAGATCGATGAGCAGCGGTAGCGGCGCCGGTGTCGACCAACTGCAGCACAGCGTCATGTGATGATTCACCTGATAGCAGTTCTCAATGTATGTCTCCAGCTGTGCGCCTGCAGCCATGCCATGTTGTCGAACCAGCGACTGAGATGTCACCATGTAGGAGGGCATAACGCCTGCATAGCTGACTATGCCGCGCGAAAAGTGTGTTTTATTAAATTCGTATTGCAGCAGCAGCGTCTGGCCGAAGTCGCTGCCATCGCACAAAAACCAAACGGACCCCATGCCATCGCCCTGCTGGAACGACTCGGTGCAGATAATGGCACGCGCCTTATCGACCAGCTCACCGCGATGATACTCCTCGTCCTGCCTCCAGGGATTTCTGTTGACAATCTGGAGCTCCAAGGAGATATCGCCGATGGCGTCCACTGCACAATCGTCTTTCAGTGGACTCCCAGTTAGATCCATATCCGTATTAGTTTTTCCACGCTCCGATTTCAATAGAAGCTTGGTGGGCGTGGTTGTTGCGATGCCGCCTCTGCGATCTTCCTTGTAGAAGAAAACAATTTTATTTGTTGACTCGCGCGCGCCCACCAATCTGGTCAAATAAGTAGGTGGCGCACTATATGTGATGGTATAGTTATCCCCATATTTACGTAATAACTCAGCGTAAATATTCGCAAGATTAACAGACATTATGTACAAACAAATAAATAAAATTGAGCAAAAATAAGAGTCGAATGCCGCCTTACACACAAAAAATGGCATCCAAAATTTTAACATTTTGCGGAACTGTTATTAACAGTGAGTATTAAAATTTCATTGGAAAAGTGCCGCTACTTTGTTAATCAAAACAATGCTTTCGTTCATTCTGCTGGTAATGTGCTTTAATGCAAACTTGTTTTATGAACGGCGCGTAATATTAAATCAAAACCCCATAAAATAGGTGTTTAGTTTGAATTTAACAGATGCTTTTATTTTTAAGTTGAGTATCTTAACAGTGCGCCCAGTTTATTTCAGTGTTGCATCAAACTAACTATCCAACCCATATATGATTCAAGACAAAAGCTAACTGCTACAAAGTCTAACAGCGCGCGTCACCCTGTTGCTTTAAATATTATCGATAACAATTTTCACGGCTTGCACGTGTTGACTTTGTTTTTATTTAGTCTTACTCTGGAAATATAATTTTTTAACATGTCCGACTTTGAATTACAAGACAGTGGCTCAGAATACGATTCCGACGACAATTCTGATGCTGAGGTATATAAATAAAACAGTTAAACAAGTTTGTACACACAGATAATCGACTTTTTTACAGCTGCAAGCGGCTTTCGAGCGTGGCGAACTAAAACCTGGTCTCAATGTTGAATTCAGCGGACAGCGCGATAAAGTTAATGATATTGTAAGCAACATTTCAATTAATTAGATTCATTGTGCTAATATCTGCTGTCATTTACAGACTAAACTATTAGCCAAAACACATGCCATACGCCTCGAGCTGCCATGGCTGGAGCGCCTGGACATGGTTAACAGTCTAGCGCCTTTGGCACCCGAGCTGGCTGTGCAGCTAGAGAAGCACGAACAGAAGCGTGCCAATCAATTCAAAGGCAATGCTAAAATACCCTATGTACGCCCTGAAGAGGATCCGGTGCTGAATGATTTTAAGCGCGAAATGCTCTTTCATCGCCAGGCACAGAGCGCTGTGATTGAAGGCATCCAGCGGCTGCAGGAGCTTGGCATCAAGACACGTCGTCCCGATGATTATTTTGCTGAAATGGCCAAGTCCGACGAGCATATGCAAAAGGTCCGTGCCAATCTAATGGCCAAACAGCAGGGACAGGCCAAATCAGAACGCATTAAACAAATACGCGAACAGCGTAAAATGGGCAAAATGCTGGCCAAGCAGACCAAGGTGCAGCGCGAGGCCGAAAAGAAAGAGATGCTCGATAAGCTGAAAAAGTTCCGCAAGGGCAAACTAAAAAACCTGGACTTCCTGGAGGATGCCAAGGCGCTGGAATCCAAGCAAAAGCAGTCGGCGGATAAACGCAAGCAACGCAACAAAAGGTTCGGGTTTGGTGGCAAAAAGAAGGGTCTGAAACGCAACACCAAGTCCTCTGCAGCTGGGCTCGAGTCGGAAAAGTCGACACGTCGCCAGCGCGGCGTCAAAGCGGGCGCCTCTGTCAACAAGCGGCTGGGCAAATCCAGGCGCATGAAGGCAAAGGGCAGAAAGTGAATGAGTATCGTCTAGCTTATGATAAGATGACCCAAAACTAGATTTTAAAAAATGGCTCTGTTAGATTTATTATAACTAAATACATTTTGTATGTACATAAAAGCTAAGGCTATTTACGCTATTCCACTTGCTTGTGCTTCCTTTTCTTTTTTTTCGGCTTGGCAGGCGGCTCGATTTCAGCGCTGGCAATTTCCGACTGGCGCTTCTTGGACTTTGCTGGTGGCCCCAGCTCCAGTTCAGTATCCAATCGTTGCTTGACATTCTCAGACGCCACTTCATCCGAATCCAGGCATTTGTCCTTCTTTCGCTTCTTTTTAATTTTGATTGTTTTGTCAACGTCTTCAGAAGCAGACTTTTTAGGTGAACTCGGCTCGCCCCGTAGCTTGGCCAGCATCTCGTGCTCTTGTGGTTCCATCTCACTCTGAACTTTAACAGGAACATTCTCAGGCGCCGCGTCATCGTATGCCACACCTTTGTCCTTCTTACGCTTCTTCTTTTTAATTTTGATTGATTCATCGGCCTCTGCAGAGGCAGCCTCTTGAAGTGCACTCTTTTTACCCTGCAGCTTGGCAAGCATCTCGCGCTCCTGTTGCTCCAAGCGCGCCAGTTTGCCGCTCAATTTGAGTCCGTGGCGCGCTCCCTTGTGTGCTGTGCGTCCGCCGCACGCCTGGAATAGCTCCTCATCTGTCAGCACATGAACTTTGGTAACAGCAATGTCTTCCGTTTTAATGCGTTCTGCGTTGGCCACTTCGCCACCGTCTTGGGTTAGCATGGCAGATTTGAGAAAGTGCTCATAAACGGCGCCACCATCTGACTTGCTTTGATGCTCCTTGGCCCTTTTCAGTTTACGTGCTGAATACCCCTTGGTAGAGATTTCCACCGCATCTACGCCAGCTTTGCGTGCTGTACTCACATGGCCATTCTGCTCCACTTGCACGGTCACGTTGGATGCCGCCTCGTTGAAGCAGCGCTCCCACCAGTGATCATTGAATTCTGTGGCACGATCAACGCCCAGGCCCGCATTGTCAAATTTTAAGCTGGCTTTCAGTGGAGCCGCAATTCCATTATTATGCTTTCCCAAACCATCGCCCTCTTTCCAGCCGTATTTACCTAATATTTTCTTAGCAAAATCCATTAAACAATGTGATTTTTGATTAGTTATCGTTTGCATATTTCAAAATTATCGATAGCCGTTAGCAGCGTGGCAACTGGGTTGCTAATGCGACTGGACAGGGATGCACTTTAAGCGCCAAAATTCAAATGTACAATCTTAGAGTGCACAACACTCTTGCAACAAAAGTTGCTTATTTCAGCAATATAAAATAATCAAAAATACAACTCGTACTTCCTTAACGCATTCATTTTTCCTTTATTTCACAATCGTTCAAATACCGATATTTCTGTTGTTCTAGCCAATAGAACAAACCCCACTTTATTCGACTATATGACAATGATTAAGTGGCAATTAATAAATGTTTAAACAAAAAAGAAAAACAAGTTCTAAATACAATAAAATTAAAGAAACGTTTTCAGTACGCGCCACATAAATTTTAAATTAACAACGACACGAAAGTAACCACACCACGCCTTCGCCAAACACTCAGGATCTCAATTGAGGAACAAGAAAGTTGCACGTGCTGCCCACGCCGCCTCAACGGATGTTGTTGTCAAGGCAATTGGGGGGGAGAGAGAGAGCTGGGTAGCTCGCTCAACCTTCTCACTGTATGGAAAAGGCGAGGCGGAGATGCATGCGTCGATTTCTGCGTGTGGGGCTAATGCTATGTGAATTCGAAGCTTGCATTGATTAAAATTTAATTTTAATGTTTACAATTTCAATCTCAACTTTTCGTTTAAATCGTCTTCGTTCCGTTTATCTCTATAACTGACCTTTTTTCCAATGTTTTCTTTTTTATTAGCAGTGTATTGTTTCTTTTTTTTTTCTTTTTGGTTTCAACTTAAATAAAAGTGTGTTCTTTCTGCGCGATGATGTTTTGCTAGGCTTTTTTTAGGCGACTACTACAGTTTCGAATGTTTTTTAAAAACAAAATTACATATATTATGTGGTTGTTGTTGTTATTTTATAATTAGATAGTACAAGATGTTGTTGGCTATCAATCATTTATCAATAATAATCGAAAAACGAACGTTGGTTGTTGGTTGTTATGTGTTTCTTCTATACGTTGCTTTCTCGCTGCCGCTGATTGCCGTTAGAATGCGGTTTGCCATCGAGATAGGAATATCCAATCCCAATATCGCCCACGCACACACACACTGCAAACAATTGCACGAAAAACTAAGGACGAGTAGAGCGGCGCTTAGAAGGCGAACAGCAGCAGGAAGGCCATCATAAGACAGAACAGACCCATAGCCTCAGACAGGGCGAAACCCAAAATGGCATAGGAGAACAGCTGCTGTTTCAACGATGGGTTTCTGGCATAACCAATGATGAGGGAACCGAATACTGTTCCGATACCAGCACCTGTTGTATTGGTTGTCATTGTCATAGTAGCAAGCGCACAATATATATATAGGGGAAAAATGTTGAGAAAAAAAGAGACAAAATAGATTAATTAATTCGTACAGCAAATTGGTATGTATTGAAGTCGCATCGGCAGTTGCCGACGGATGATAGGCATATAGCTCCATATGGAACTATATGCACAAAGCGATTTGGATTGGAATCAAAATCCAACTCTGCCTGTTGGCCTTTCTCATCTCTTTTATTGGGTCAGTCAGTCACAGATTAGTCTGAATTGAGTTCTGCGCACCTCAGGCAAGGTTTGCAGCAAGCACATCGCACTTAAATTGCTGGTCACGAAAGTTTTCAATGCAACATGGCCGGCGGCAAACGGCAAGCGCTGCGGCAACAGCCATACTGCAGCATTTCTGGTACTTTCGCCTTGTGATTACACAAGTTTCCGGCTAGGAAATGAAGCTCCGCGACACACAATCACCTCTCGGCTTTTGTATGTTGTTACAGCAACAAGGGAGCTTTGACCATGTCTCAGACCTTCCCGGGGCGTTGTGAAAGAGTAATCAGATACTCGTTGTGTGTGCCCCAGATGCTAGATTGTAACTGACTGAAGCGATGAATACAGCCGCTGGACAGGATTGGACAAATTGAATCATGGTAAGATGCTAATGAATCAGACAAGACGCTTTACAATTGGTAACCAATACGAACCGGAACCAGCGACACCGACTGTTGCAGCACCAGCACCAATGAATTTGGCAGCCGAATCAATGTCACGCGTGACTGGCGAGGTCTGGAATGACCTGATCTGTGGCAGTAATGCTACGGGGGTTGTGTTCTGAGCGGCCAAAGTTTGGCTCTGGCTGATAACGGCGCTGCTCAATGGTCGCAAGTATTGCTTGGAGTTGGCGAGGAGCTGTAAAAATATATGTGAAAAATGGTTTAATTATATAATTAAACACACACGAGAATGTTTCGTTTGCTTTTCATGTGAGATAAAAAGTGTTGTTGTTGTTGTAGGCTTTGCGCGTTGCCATTGCCAAGTTATGCAATGAGTTAAGCAATTTGGATTTTAGCCATTTGGCTAAAGCTTTTGTTGACATTTTAGAAGGCGGCAAATATCAATAATTAACGCTGTTCATTTATATGAATTTTGTTTCTAGTTCAGAATTAATTCATGCTGCATATAAAAAAATGCTTGGAAAGCTTTCACCGGTTCTAACCTCAACTACAAGCAGTAACAACGTTAATGTAACTTGTTATACAACTCCTACACAGTATTAAAATCGCTAAGAAATAATGCCAAATTTGATTAAATTAAATAGAAAATCACTTTAAATTGTTTAAATTAGTTAGCATGGATTAAATAGTTGCACCTATAAATTGCACATAACCTCAATTCTCACATTCAACTTATGTAACTGTATGTGTTTTCCATTGGAATTCGAAGTCACCACACAGTAGCAGCATAGAATTTTTTTTTTAACAAGCAATGAAAATCGATGCGGCTATAGAAAATTATGTAATTAATAGCAACATTAACACATATAACTTTTTATCTCACTGAATAACTTTACGCATTTTGTACTTACCACGGTCCTGGCAACAGGGGCAATGCGAGAGACTGTCGACACGAACATTTTTAGTTGAATTGTAATTGGCGTTTCGCACAAAATTGAAGCAAGCGCACGGAGCTCTGCAAAAGATATAGATGTAGATGTCTTGTAAATATATAGACTTATTTATATATATATATGCATAGTTGTTGCGAATCGCTGCTGCAAATGCCGCTGTCCGCCTGCAAGTTGCTGTTGGTTACGTAATGTGAAAAAATGTATATATCCACTCGAATTGCCACAGTTCTCAACAGAAATAGACGCACTCTTCAATTGTAATTAATTAATTCTAATTACATTTCACTGGATCTACTTAAACTAACATTGATTTCCTTCAACAGTTTAACTTTTCTAGTGACGCAACGAATTTACACTCCACACTACGGCACAAAACACACTGACAGTTCTCTTCATACGTCCGTGTGACATCTTGTCTGAATGCGTGTGTATGTGCCGCAAGATGGCGACACTGAACACGTTTGAAAAAATATTATTTTCACTGATGTATATTGTTCACAGTTTTTCACATTAAATTGTAAGTAGAATTGTGCATTAAAAAACATTTTCAAGCATTTTCATTCGGCACTGATTATTTAACCAGCAGCAGAAGGCATGGCGGCGGGCGATGCAGGGGTGCTCCACATTTTCAATTTTTAGCGTAAGATTACCGTCCAACTCACTTCGAACAAACCCTTAACAACAGTGGACCCGTATTGAACGCGAAATTTCACTTTACCCTACAGTCGCCATGCAATTCTTGGTCGTGGTGAATTGGAAAGGCACTTGGAAAATCACGGGCGCATGAGCACCTATCGATACCAACATGTATATTTGCTAACACAAATAGAGGTGTTACCAATAAATTAAAAAGCTTAAAAATTACTCTTAAGGGTTTAGTCGTTATATTAATTCATTTATAATAAGGTTATCAGCAGATGACACCAAGTTGCCATTTACCATATATTTTAAAACATAATACATAAATATATATGCAGTTTTACCAAGTTGAGAATATTAAAATTTACTACCTTTGATTTCATTTCCATGCGCGGTTCCGTTGAGATTCAAGGTAAATTTTGTATATTTACCTTTAATATGTTCAGATTATTTGCGATAAAATGCTTCGACTACAAATGCAAGCCTGCTCTGTGGTGAATTGGAAATAAACTTGGAAGTTGATACCGGTGTTTCTTATCAGCCCTGAAATTACGCTTTTCGTTAATAAATTATTAAAGTACTTAATTTGGATCAACAAGATTATTTCAGAATTGTTGACTTGCAACCAATATGACAAATCTGAATGTCAAGACAATCCTACGAACACTGGTGCATCAAATCTAAGCAAACTGAGCAAATCATATCTTCGATTGAAAAATTTGCGCGCGTAAATTTAAAATATAGTGGTTCAATTTTGGGATTTTGTGTAATAAATAAAAAAGGTGATAAATTTCATTGCATATTTTGCTAAAAACAACAAACCTGCCTGGTAAAAACACTTACCACTCGCTGACTCTTAATCGATTAGATATCGAATGTGTATCCAGCCCTGGTTCGCATACAGCCACGCGTCGTGGTGTCGTCACGTAGTCTGGATTATGTTATAATTTGAGCTACTTAAAACCCAGCATAATTGAAACAGGATGCTGTAAGTAATGGAAGCAACCATAATGCTTTTAATAATACGCCTAGCATAAATACCATATTGAGGTATTCATATTTCGTTTTGTGTATCATTGCAGCCCTCAATTGCATAACAGCGATTTTGCATAAGTGTGTATGTGTGTGTGCGTACGGCCAGGGAGGATACACACAAATACATACTAATCGACGGAACGTTTCACAATTCATTTGACTGGATCATCAATAGTATAAATCAAATTCGATAAACGCTGCATATTGCATTTTTGCTGGAGTTAGTTGATTGGATAATTTTGTTGCAACAACGCCGCAAAATTGTTTTGGCTGCTATCGAATATATTATATATATCGATAGTTAACTGTATGCGATAATTACCATAACCCACAGTATTCGTTTGAACAATCTTAACTGTTAGTAACAGTATAGCCGCCTGTTAAGTTCTTGGATGCCAGAAACATAACATTAAACAAGCAGTGACACTTACATAACGCGCAGTCACAGTCGTACGTCGAGTGATATGGCCGTGTTTCTGATCAACATCTGCAAATTCAATGGCTGTTTTAAAACTTTTCCAAGTCTAGGCGACTTAATATCACACATCGAGGGAACACACATAGGCAAGTATTTGAAAAGCAAAAATTTGTGTGATAAAGTGCAAGTGTTTCAAAATACCGATGACAAACAACATTAATTAGTCGCGTGATGCACGGGGCGGCTCGTCGCTGTCACTGACGCCGCCGACATCGTCGGCAATCTGTGTTTTGTTTATTTAATTTATTTATATGTACATAGTATATACATATTCTTTTGGTGCGCGCGTGTGTGTGTGTGTGTGCGTGCATATACTGAATGAATAGTAGGTACATTTGTGAGTGTGTACGTGCGAATGCATGCTCGTTGCAGCGTTTCGGTACATAAATAAAATATTGTTTTCGTTCGCCTTTAGTGCCCAGCCATGAAATCAATTTTAGCAGAAAAACACATACATTGATTTGTTAATGCTGGCAAATATATTTCTGCTGTGCAATAATATCAAAGTGTGCCATGGAAAATCAATATGGCCAGGCTTTAAATACGCACGCACGTTTTAATGCGTACGCGTCGTCGCCTTCAATTGAAACAAGCAAGCGCATTCACAATAGGCGGCAAGCCAAGCTGAATTACCTGTGCCGCTCACACACACATACATATGCATATAAACGTCCATTCGTGGCATGTACAGCATTCATTCTACACAGTTACAAACTCACATACATATATGTATATGCTTGCTTTAGATTGGCCAACTATACAAGTGCGAGCGAGAACGCAATTGCGTGGCAAGCAAAAACAACGAAAGCAAGCAAAAAGCCGGTGATCCATTAAACAACAACACTGCATATGTGCTGGCTTAAGTATGTGTGTGTGTATGTGTGCTTGTGTTTGTAACCCGCCAGCGTAGCAGCAGCATCTGTACCCCAGCCGGCAAGGGCAAGTGAGCGCCTTTTCTCGTTTGTGTTTTGTGTGTGTGTGTGTGTTTGTGTTTGACCTGTCTCTGGCTTGGTCTTGGAAATTGAGCGCGTCTCTTGCAGGTGCCAACACCTGCTCAGCCCAAGCATCTCAACGTCAAACGGCTACGAAAGCTCTGCTCCAATTGCACCCACGCACGTTATGCGTAATCAATTCTTGTCAATGCTATGGTCTATACACCTATGTCCGATTACGTGCATTTCACTACAGTGAAATATCCTCTAATGGGACAGGGCGGGCTCGAAATCTTTTTTCTGTCCTGGACAGACAACTTTTCTTTCAAATAACTGCTAAATAGAACAATTTTCAAACATTGGATTTTATTAAGTATATTAATAGTTTGAAATATGCAAAAATTTGTAAAAGCATCATCTATTTATTTGTACTTGGATGTCCGTCCAAGAAAGCTTTCACTGTAACCAAGCAACGTGAACCAAAGACGTCTTTCAGAGAGGAGCTGAATGTCAGTGTTGGAAAAACAACAAAACAGCGGCACAACTTAGGTAGCCGGGGTTTCAAAATAAAAATGTCCAATTTTAGATCAGGTACTTAAGCAGCAGCCTCGTCAGTTTGTTTGTGCGTGTATGCAAGGGGGTGGAAAATCAATAAAATTAAGCTCAGTGTTGCCACTTGGCTACAATGGTGTGGCGATTGGTGTATTCGGGAAAGGGGGTTGTGCGCGTTAAGTGCGCGCAGGGGTGTTATTTATGATGGTGGTGCGAGTGGCGGCTCTGTTCCAGCACACTTATGTATATTTGTGCTTCATCTATATTTGTATATACTTTCATATGCATTGTATGTGTGTAAATAAGTGTTGGGCGCGTATCGTGCTTTCGTGACAGGAACACGTACGACACAACACGACGTGTTCATGGTAACACGCCAAATAAATCGTATGCTAATAAATGAAAAAAGTGGTGGCAGTATTGGTGCTACATATAGTACAATAACTATATAAACAAAACTGAAAAGAAAAATTTATAAATTCGAAAAAAAAAAATGAAAAAGGTTTTAAAAATAATATGAATAAAAGTACAAAAAGTGTCGCGTTGGGTATACGAATTGTAGACACAACCCACACCTAACGCTTCGTGTTTTTAAAGGAAAGACTTCACGCGCCCATCTCTAGCGTCAGTGTAGGGGGGTATTACGGCTAAAAGTTAGCAGCTGTCTGTTGCTGCTGCTGTGATAACGGTCAGCAGCAAATGGCGCGTTGATGGGCGCTCGCTAGCATTACATAAAGTTGGTAAGGCTAGTGGGTTCTCGCCCACGCATCGCCCTTGGCAACAAGAGACGCTACACATACATAAGTACATACATATATATGTATCTAATATGCTATGCGCCCATAAGCTTTGAGAAAGATAACGGCTCGAAGGACTTTAGCTGTTTACCTATTTACGTACCTATTTACGTCAATAATGCATATGTATGTATATACATATGCATATGCTTGGCCCAGTTGGACGTTTGTCTCGCGCTTATCGCATGGCACCATCTATACATACATGCGCTCTTTTAGCTTGACGCAATTTAATTTTTTTCGCAAGTTCCTTTTGCTGCTATGGCAACGCTGCCGCAAGACCTTCAAGTTTGTCCTTTGCACAGTTGCCAGGCACCTGTTGTGCATACACATACACACACAGGCAGACACACACACACACACACACTCACATGCATACATAAATACGACGCGGCACACGCGCCCTGTAATTTTATCGATAACATGTGCCGCTGTGAAATGCAATATGCCGTTACATATTTTGCAATAATTCTACATGTTCCAAGCCGGTCTGGAATGTTAATGCAATTGATTGTCATCATTTTGTTTTTTATTCCAGTCAACGACATTTTGGGCACTTTTTATCAAATTTCGATATGTGCACTGGAAAACATTGCACGCCCAAAAAACAAATACACAACATCTGTACATACATATGCATATTGATATGTGTATGTGTGTGTATAATTATTATCTGCTAAATAAAAATAATATGAATTCTGCAATAAGTGAATGACTCAGATGACAACGCAAAAGCAATAAGAATAACAGGAATAATAACGCAGCGTTGTTGTTTATGTTTATTTTGTTTTTAAAATGCGAATGTATAGTAAGCGTTGTACACATGCATATTTATACGTATGTGTGTGTGTGTGTGTGTGTGTATGTATAGCTAGATCAAATTTGTTTAAAAACAAATGCGCTGTTACTTATTCAGTGTTCGAAAATTTGATAAACAAATTGCCAGCTGAATAGTTGGCATCTAGCGCAAGGCATGTTAGAGAGAAACAAGAACCGCTAGACGATTGCCTAAGGTTATCAACAATAGCAAAAAGCAAAAAGCAACAATAACAAAAACAATAACAATAACAATAATAAATTCGAAAAAAAGATTGTTAACTGATTTGAGCGTAACAAATGACGCCGTTTATGCGTTTGTGGGTGGTGCTTGTAGACGAAGGCAGGGGCATACCCTTGATTTCATCAGCTGAAAAACAATAAGTTTTAACAATAAATTGTTAAGTGACAATTTAAAATTTCTATTTGCGGTACGTGTGTTGTCCCTTGCGAATGTGTCACCAATTGCAGGGCACGTAGTCATAATTTTAGTAACAGCAACTGATAACGCACACTCATTAATACAGGCCACAGGCACACACACATA